AAATAAAATCACGTTACTCATTTTTAAGTTAAAAAAAAAAATAAAGTACAAACGTAAATTGAATAATTTCAAACTATATATAAACAGTTTTACAGGCTCTGTCTACATTATTTTTACATTAATTAAATATTCATCTCAAATATAACATCATATCGTTGAAATTTTTATGATTTAAAATTCAAACAATAAAGTAAAAATTGAAGTGTTACTCTACTCGTAACTAGAAAAAAATCAACTAGAAAAGAATTGAAAATTCATCTAGAACTCTACTACATGGCCGACAATATTTTCAGAGCTGACAAGGAAAAATCAAAGTTTCAACAGGAGGTATACGAACTCCTCGCTCAACTCGATAGTGTCACCAAAGAGAAGGTGTTGTCGATAAAAACCGTGGAGAAACTCGAGGTGCATGTAGCCGAGCTTAACGTGAAGATTGAAGAACTGAATCGTACCATCATCGACATCACCAATCACAAAACTAGAATCTCACAGGAAAATATCGAGTTAACTAAAGAAGTGCAAGACTTGAAGGTAAATAATCTCACGTCTCGCATCTATCGTATCTATCACACATGATACAAACATCAGTACTTCCTTATATCGTCGAACAGAAAACAATTTTGAAAAATAATTGCGACAAATTCCAACATTTTATTGCAAAGTCGATTTTTAGAACAATTTGTTTTATCGTAGGTCAGCATCGAGAATGTTGTCTACTTGAAAACGCAACTGGTAGGTCAACTAGAAGATGCTCGCCGTCGTCTCGAGGATGAGGATCGTCGTCGTTCATTGGTCGAAGCTTCCTTACATCAGGTACGAATTTCTTTCACTTTTTATAATGTTGACACACGCATATTGCATTTGATTATGCAGAACTTTATATAACAAAACTGTCGCCAGGTTGAAGCGGAATTGGAATCCGTTCGCGTTCAATTGGAAGAAGAATCGGAGGCTCGTTTGGATATCGAACGCCAATTGGTCAAGGCGAATGGCGAGGTGCAAGTTTGGAGATCGAAGTATGAAACCGAAGCTAATGCTCGTGCCGAAGAGGTAATTAAGAAGAAGGAAATAATGAGCTATGGAATTTCAATTGCTGGTTTTTTGACATTGGTCTACCAATGTTTTTATTTTCATTAGTAAATTATCTTGAATGAAAAAACGATTCGTTTCATACTTTATTTTTGCATATGTAATCACTTAGTTTCACTTAGTTTCTCAATATACGTAAATTACTTTTAATTAATAAGTAACCACATATAATTGTTGCATATAGCAGCAGAATCTCTGCTAGTTTCAATCTTTGAGTGACACTTGGACCGAATTTTACAGGTGGAAGAATTGCGTCGTAAGTACGGAGCTCGCATTCAGGAACAAGAAGAACAGATTGAAACTCTGCTCGTGAAGATCAACAATCTCGAGAAACAGAAATCTCGCCTCCAATCTGAAGTAGAGGTGCTGATCATCGACTTGGAGAAGGTACGGCTTTAGAACATTTATCATTCTAGGATATTTCTTGGAAATTTACTTCTACTAATTTAATCACATTTTCATCACTTTTTTAAAAGTCGAATATACCTATTAACTTCCATATGTTTGAATAAATTAAATTAAATTAGACATTAAATATAACTCCGCAAAAATATAACCCGAAGACAAATATCAAGTCACGTAAAATTTTTGATGAATTTTTTAATTTGTTTGTGACCAACTATGGAGTAATATAATTGATTCGGTAAGACTTTACAATTTTCAACCTGTACGATTCAATTTTCAACTTTAAATTTCAACGTAATTTATTGATGAATTTACGAACTTTTAAGGCCAATGGGACAGCTCGCGAACTGCAAAAACGCGTGGATCATTTGGAGAAGATCAATCTGGAACTCAAGGCTCGTTTGGATGAAAGCGTGGCTTTGTATGAACAAAGTCAACGTGATCTCCGTAACAAACAGCAGGAACTCCAGCGTACTAATGCCGAACTCGACAAGACACGCGAGCTGAAAGATCAATTGGCTCGTGAAAACAAGAAACTAGGAGGTGAGCAACTCCACGAAACTTCAACTCAATTGATCGATACTTTTTCATTAAATGTACGAAAGAATACAATAATTTGACGAAAATGACGAACGTATATCAGAATAGATATCTGTTAAGAAATGTATCAAAGTACAAAAGTACGTTATTGACAATACTAATGTCATTAATTTATAGTTATATGAAAACTATAACAATGAGAATTTCAATTTAACTTAACGTTCCAGCCTTTGTCACGCAAAATAATAGTGTATAGGATGAAATAAAGTTCTATCCGGAGGAATGTATATAATTAATTTTTTGTCTTTGCAATGTAGGAATAATTTTATATCAATTATCGTTTTAGATGACTTGAACGACGCCAAGAACCAGCTGTCTGATATGAATCGCAGACTTCACGAACTGGAGCTTGAACTCCGCCGATTGGAGAACGAACGTGAGGAACTTGCTGCCGCCTACAAAGAAGCTGAAGCAGTAAGTGGCAGCGTATTTATTTCAGTATTTCGAAATTCTAAATTTTTCTTAAAATATACATCATTGATTAATGGAAGATTAATAATTACTGGACTATTATTACAATGTTATTCGTCCAAAAATAAATCTGCAAAGTGCGAAATATAGAATCTACTGTAAAAGAAAATTGATGACAGGGACGCAAGATTGAAGAACAGCGCGCTCAGAGACTGTCCTCTGAATTGACCCAGCTTCGTCACGACTACGAACGCCGCCTAACTGAGAAGGATGAAGAAATCGAGATCATTCGGTAAGTAATTAAATTGTGCTTGCTGTGCTTTTCTTTAAATTATCGATTCAAACTACGTGTTACAACTTGTAACATCAATAATTTACAATTTCTTTGTATTAATATTGTTGTTAGTATTAATCCACGATAGTACTATTGCAAACGCATGATTGATAGTGAGTAGTTTCCAGGTGATGCATGTATTCGCTTGTATCAATATACATTTATTCCAAATTTAATTGACAGCTTCATTTAAAAATATTGGAACTGTGCTACAACGTGACTTATGTACCTCCGCTTTTCTGTCATGTATGTGGAGTTATATACAATAATTTGTATATACTTTTTTCTTTTCTGTCAAAAGAGCAATCGATTCAAGTGAAACATTTATATATTTTAAAACACAGAGAAAGTTAAATCAAGACTTGGACGAATAGACAGTCAGAAGGCAGTTATTTCTATTCGCTGAAATAGAGTATTCTCTGAAGTTAATAAATCAATATTTTACAACATCTCTGACAAAGAATTCTAAAAGTACTTGTAGGTTATATCTGTGGTTGGTCATTAAATATGAAATCGGAAAATATGCGACTACGTATAATAATAAAAGGATAACTCTACAAATTAAATTATTTTTACCAATTAAAAAAATTAACTTCATTGCAGTCAAAAAATCGTGCAATAATATTGTATCGTATTCACTTGAGCAAGTGAATTATTCAAAATTATTTATAACTCAGTGTTCTTTTAAAATACATTTGAAAGAAGAAAAGATATCAAGAGAAACAGGAAGTGTGACTTTTTATCTACTTGACCGTGATGTAATCAACTCTATTTTCGATATAACCAGCCAGTAAGGATCAACTATTTGAAGACGTGACTAATTTTATCATCAATCAGCTACATTGATTAACCGCCCATGACGGCTTTCTC